ATCCAGGTTACAGGGGATCATCCCAACCCCTGAGGTTATGCAAATGGGCTGTAGTTATGCAGAGCAGAGCTCTGGAGAACATCCTCATGTCCTTACTCCACACCTCATTCCTGCTTGATGGGAGACAGATCCACTGCCATAAGCACTACTCCTATTTATGACTGACATCAGCTTGCAATATATGCTGCTGACTCATCTTCATTTTCCATAAGCATTCTGCACTAGAATGTCACTGCCAATGACTTATTAGCAGCAAAATAACAACAGCAACACAAAGAACAGCTGTGTGGGATAGTTATTGATTATTGAAAAATGTGTTATTAAAGATGTCAAGTGTTCATGTCATTCTAGAAAGCCTCAAATAAATTTATCAGAGCTCCTTTCTAACTGTTCTTTTGGGTCTAATGTATGTATTCTTGTATTTCCCAATATAGGGGTGTGTTGGGAACTGCTTATTGTCCCTGCTGTGTTTATACAAGTTGGAAATGTTTTTAACCAGTGTTAAACAGTATGTCTGTTGAGAACACACAAACATTGAAATCCAAGAAATGGTTGGGCAGAAATACTCCACTGTGTGCTCCATCTTAAATCAGGATCATACAGATTGATGGCTACAAATGCCATGAGGTGTCATTAACTCACTTTTAAATAACCCCTGAATGTGTGAATTAATGGGATGTGAACTCCACAGAAGTGCAGAAAACCCACTCTGCCAAATATCACATGAGTTAAGAGCTGAAAACTGTCATTTACAGGGCGCAGACCCTGCATTAACTGTGAGTTTCCTGTAATTCTTCTCTTTCATTGCATCCACCTATTTTGGGACCCTGGCTAGTACAGCCTGCCACAACCTGCTCTTCCCTGCTCTTTCCAGATTCCTGAAGTAGCAGAGAGCAGAAGATGAGACGTGTGGCTCCAGAGAGGAGGCCCTGGCTGCCAGCACAGACTGCCACATCAGCAACAGGAGAGCCCCTAGGGAAGCATCTGGATGCCCAGGAGGAGACTTGGCTTTAGGTACAAAACCTGGATGGAAAATTGAATTCAGAGTTAAAGAAAACCCAAAAAAAACTAACCCAAACCCACTCATGCAGCAAAGTATTTGAGAGCCCATATTCACATCCTGGACAAAAGTTTGGATTTTTTTCTACTTCTTTTTGTATCTCTGGTTTCTGTTCCTGTTGGTTACTTTTCTTTCCTAACCTGTCAAGAATTCCAAGATGCCAGCAACAAGAAGCTGCTGTGAGGCTCCCTGGATCACTTCTGCTGGGAAACACTCAGTGAAACAAGGAGTGCCACGGATTTCAGCCTCACTGCCTGAGCTCCAGGGCTGAGTACAACACTTACAGTGGGGCTTGTCCTTAGTATCACTGCTGGAACAGAGATGTAATAAAAATAACTTAACCATCTGTACTTCCACAACCTAGGCAGGAAAGCATAGGAGAGATTTCAGGCAGTACATAAGTATAGGAGAGAAATTTAGGATATGAATTTGTTTTAAAGGGGCACGGATCTTTCAGTGTTCCAATTACCCAGGGGGCTGAGACAGATGGAAGTCAGAGCCTTGTGTTGACAACACAACAAAACCACAAGAGCACAAAAGAAAGGAAAGCATAATGATAATTGTGCCCATGTGTCCCACAGGAAAGAAACATGGGATACAATCAGAAATGCAGAGGATTTCACGTACCCCAGACACATCTCTACAAACCCTGTGTCCAGGACAGACACCACAAACCTGGGTCCTTTTTCTCAGGGGTTTGTCCAAGCACCTGCATTAAAGGAGGGCTCACGCTGGCTGTGACCTGGTCACGGAACAGGACACTGAGCTAAACTGGGACTTTTCCCCCTACAACCTACAATTAGGTAATCTACAGAATTCATTTCCTTCACGTCTAAAGAAGCTCTGTTTTGTGGTGTGGCGTGCATTACTGTGTGTTAGTCACAGCCTGACTGAAGGGAAGGGCACCATCAAATTTACTGTAACAGCAATTTTCCTTAAGGTACATCAGCACAGATGAGTTGGCAGACCCCTGGTACACGGCTTGAAACCATCTGTGATGCAACATTGCCATCTATGGGAGCCCAGGCTGTAACAGATTTACACAGACACACCCACACTGCTGCTCTCTGCTTCTGTCCATTTTTCAGCGTGGTATTTACTTTCCTAAAACACTTCTCTTTGTAAAAGCTTTGTGCCACCAGGAGAAATCAACCTACTGTCCTCTCATCATTTATTTCTTTCAAGCCTACCCTTCAAATTCTAACAGATACCTCCATTACTGGTATTTAGACTTTATGTGATAATTTCAGTTCACAAAAGCCCTGCTCCAAGTGTGTCAGCATTTCTGCCACGCTTAAAAATAGTAAATAAACAAAACGTAAACCCAAGTGCACACAAGGCAGTAGCCACATCACTGGTATGAAGTGGCAAACAACATTTGGAATATTATTTCTAACGTGCCCCAAAGTCCTCAGAGAGCAAAGACGCAACTCCAAAATATCATTACAGATATTTTCAGACGTAACCTGCTGAACATTAGTGCTATGAGTAATGCAGGAATGAGCTGGATAAAGAAGTACAATGGTTACGGGACAAACAACAAACCCAAGGGGGCTGAGCAGAGCTTAAACCTGCTCCTGCTTTAGTCTCTCCTGCTGCCCTTAAGTGTGGCCTGGGAAAAAGCTCCTCTCTCTCCAAGCTCCAGCCCTGCCCCCTTTTACTTCCCAGGAGCTGTCAGCTCCTTCAGGCCAAAGCAGAAGCTGGGAAGGATTCTGTTAGGAAATTGTGGGGCAGAGCCCAGAAGGCTTGGTGGATACACACAGACATCCATCTCACTCACCAGGAACCCTTGTCTCAGTGTCAAATGGGAAGTGGTGACAAAGGTCAGGCTGTGGATTAAGCACAAACCCAATTTTTGCTTTGATGGTACCTCAATAGGAGTATTTAAAACACTGCAGTTTATATTTTCATAGCCGAGTAAGCACCTAAGACATAAAACAGTCACGTAATTGGAGACATGTGGAGCAGCTCTAATGCCAGATGTAAATGATGTGCGTTGGTTTAACAGATATTTCCACATCAGTTTCTATCAGCACACTCTCTGAAGCCAATACCTCCAAAGCTGTACAGGAACAAAGCCACACTGGGGTATCAAAGTTACCTTACAGAGGAATAAAAGCCTAAGACAAAAGTCACTACAGAGCTGGTATGCACTGATTTGCCTTTATCACCTGTACAAGTGTGTCCAGACATAATGAAGGGATAATAGAAGCTGGAAAAGAGATTGCATAGCTGGAGAAAGCCAGGAGTCAGGGAATACAGATGTTTTTTACATTTTAGAATTTTACTTGAGGACAGGGCAGCATTTTTGCTGTTGATGTTGTTGCAAATCAGCACTTCATGCTTAAGTGCACCACAAGCAGCAAGTCCTCCCCTGACATCTGGAAACAAGAATACCCCAGGACAAGGCAGGCACTGCCAGCAGAAGCCAGAAATGCCTTAACTGAGTTCTAATGCACAAAACTCAGCTCCAAGTGTATCCATATTTCATCCCTACGTTTCTGATTCTGTAACACATTTCGAGTCAGAGCCAAAATGTTGAGATGAAAACCCCTAACAATTTATTGAGACATCAAGACAACAAAATAGACTTTTCTTAATTAAATATAGGAATACTCAAAGAAACCCAAACCACATTCTGGTATGCCTTTATGGTTTTTTGCACTTTTGATGTTAATTAAGTTCTGCATATCTCGAACTGCTGCTGGAGAACTAAGACTAATCTGTAACTCCTATAAGTTGTCATAGTTCCTCTGAAATCAAGGGAGGTTTTGACAATTTACACCATCTGAGGAACTGCTCTGTGTGCCTAATAAGACACACTGCTGTTTAATTACAGGCAGGTTCAGAAGGAATCTCCACAGCTCCAGAAAAAGCTGGTTCTGTCAGGAAGAATCATTTTTTGTTCTCTAAAACTCATGATGAACTTCAATGTCAAAAGCCATCCTTCTCTCTGTAAAGACCATAAATGTGTCTTGAGCTGAAAGAAAAGGTTCTGTGGACTGCAGGCAGCTTTGAAGTGTGGCCTTGGTGCTGCGAGAGGGTTTTGAGAGGAGAAGTAGGGAGTGCCTGTCCCAGTGTCCTCAGAGCCCTGGAATAACAGGTGGGGAGACTGGGAGCAGCCAGACCACAGAACCTCAACACAGGAGCAAGAGAACATCGATCCAGACATTCCTGTGACAGTTTTCAGTCTGGAGAGTAAGCCAGGGAGATACCACGTGTTTACACACTGATTTCTGAGAGGATTTACTTGCTCTGTGTCAGATTTAGGAACATCATTTAGTGGTAGCCTTGGCAGTGCTGGGTTAATAGTCGGACTCCGTAACCTTAAAGGTCTATTCCTACCTAAATGGTTCTAGGATTCTATGTTTGCAACCACAGAACTGCAGGAGTTGTGTGTTCCACATCTGCTGCTGTGAAGATGAATACTTTAAAAGGTGTGCAGACATTGCAGTGATAGGTGTGTAAGCTGCAAGAAGATTCGGACAGAACACAGCAACACTCACTTTCACCTGATCAACAAAGCACAACAACAAACAAGCACCTAATAAAACCCCACCAAAACACAAAAAACCTAACCACTGTCAAACCCACAGTTCCAAAACCAGAAAGTCACATTTTTCACAAAGTTTTGGGCAAAGCAACAGTAGGTTCCATCTCTAGGTTTTGCGCTACCAAAAAAAGTAGAATAAGCTGTTGTGATTGCCCACCTGCACAGGGAGGACATAAACCACATGAGGATTAACAGCTACAGAATAATGTACACCACCCACTGCAGAATCTGTGCTGCAGGTTAAGAGACAGAAAAACTTATACCTTGGGCAAGGATCTCAGCATAAGTGTGCTGCCTCATTGATACAGTATTTTATTACTAGGATTTCTCTTTGGTATGCACTGATTTGCCTTTATCATCTGTACAAGTGTGTCCAGACATAAAGAAGGGACAACAGAAGCTAGAAAGGAGATTACATAGCTGGAGAAAGCCAGGAGTCAGGGAATCCAGATGTTTTTTACATTTTAGAATTTTACTTGAGGACAGGGCAGCATTTTTGCTGTTGATGTTGTTGCAAATCAGCACTTCATGCTTAAGTGCACCACAAGCAGCAAGTCCTCCCCTGACATCTGGAAACAAGAATACCCCAGGACAAGGCAGGCACTGCCAGCAGAAGCCAGAAATGCCTTAACTGAGTTCTAATGCACAAAACTCAGCTCCAAGTGTATCCATATTTCATCCCTACGTTTCTGATTCTGTAACACATTTTGAGCCAGAGCCAAAATGTTGAGATGAAAACCCCTAACAATTTATTGAGACATCAAGACAACAAAATAGACTTTTCTTAATTAAATATATGAATACTCAAAGAAACCCAAACCACATTCTGGTATGCCTTTATGGTTTTTTGCACTTTTGATGTTAATTAAGTTCTGCATATCTCGAACTGCTGCTGGAGAACTAAGACTAATCTGTAACTCCTATAAGTTGTCATAGTTCCTCTGAAATCAAGGGAGGTTTTGACAATTTACACCATCTGAGGAACTGCTCTGTGTGCCTAATAAGACACACTGCTGTTTAATTACAGGCAGGTTCAGAAGGAATCTCCACAGCTCCAGAAAAAGCTGGTTCTGTCAGGAAGAATCATTTTTTGTTCTCTAAAACTCATGATGAACTTCAATGTCAAAAGCCATCCTTCTCTCTGTAAAGACCATAAATGTGTCTTGAGCTGAAAGAAAAGGTTCTGTGGACTGCAGGCAGCTTTGAAGTGTGGCCTTGGTGCTGCGAGAGGGTTTTGAGAGGAGAAGTAGGGAGTGCCTGTCCCAGTGTCCTCAGAGCCCTGGAATAACAGGTGGGGAGACTGGGAGCAGCCAGACCACAGAACCTCAACACAGGAGCAAGAGAACATCGATCCAGACATTCCTGTGACAGTTTTCAGTCTGGAGAGTAAGCCAGGGAGATACCACGTGTTTACACACTGATTTCTGAGAGGATTTACTTGCTCTGTGTCAGATTTAGGAACATCATTTAGTGGTAGCCTTGGCAGTGCTGGGTTAATAGTCGGACTCCGTAACCTTAAAGGTCTATTCCTACCTAAATGGTTCTAGGATTCTGTGTTTGCAACCACAGAACTGCAGGAGTTGTGTGTTCCACATCTGCTGCTGTGAAGATGAATACTTTAAAAGGTGTGCAGACATTGCAGTGATAGGTGTGTAAGCTGCAAGAAGATTCGGACAGAACACAGCAACACTCACTTTCACCTGATCAACAAAGCACAACAACAAACAAGCACCTAATAAAACCCCACCAAAACACAAAAATCCCAACCACTGTCAAACCCACAGTTCCAAAACCAGAAAGTCACAAAATTTTTCAAAAAGCTTTTCACAAAGTTTTGGGCAAAGCAACAGTAGGTTCCATCTCTAGGTTTTGCGCTACCAAAAAAAGTAGAATAAGCTGTTGTGATTGCCCACCTGCACAGGGAGGACATAAACCACATGAGGATTAACAGCTACAGAATAATGTACACCACCCACTGCAGAATCTGTGCTGCAGGTTAAGAGACAGAAAAACTTATACCTTGGGCAAGGATCTCAGCATAAGTGTGCTGCCTCATTGATACAGTATTTTATTACTAGGATTTCTCTTATTTTCCTGTGTCTCTCTATCCACATTTTATTTCTGTTTCTTGCTGTCCTGTTTTCTTTCTTGTCTATTTTTCCCCCTCAAGCAGAGCTTGAGAATTATGTCATGATCAGGACATGGTAGGTACCTCAAGTGCATTCGTGACCGAGCTGGAAGAGTTCAATCCTCTCTACTACCCAAAGGAGAGGGAAGTGAAAATTCAAACTGCACTCTTTTCTCCCAAGGGTTGGTGTGCTCTTTCTGCTACACAGAGTTGGAGCAATTCTGCCAACAGATTCCCACACGTTTCTCATGAGGGCAGACCCTGGCACAGTCGTTCTCCTGATCCTGCACTTGAAATGAGTCACCAGCAGAGCAAACAGCTCCAGAGGCAGCATGAATCCACAGCCCTGCTCCTTCTTGTTGAATTCACCCAGCACAGCAGGGCTTAAGCTGAGGATTTCAGTTCAAAGAGTGACTTTAGTGTCTGAATTAAAACACTCTCAGCAGTTTGTGCAGCCACTTGGCCCACCCGGGAACGTCTGCAGCGGGGGCTTCCAGGGGCAGAGCGCTGCTCCCACCACATCTGGAGCAGCACAGCTGGCCCTCAGCCAAACCCTCCTGCTCACAGGCACCTCTGCAGTGCTCCAAGTGCAGCCAGGAGCCAAGGACAGCAGTACCAAGAGCAACAACCAAGTGGATTCTCTTTCCACACCATCAGATCAGCAATGGAAGCTCCAGCAGATTTTGGACAAACCGCAGCAGCAGATTTCCTTGTGTTGGGAAGAAACTCTGTGACTCGGTTTGGCTGTTTTAGTTTACAGCCTGACCAAAGCTCTGACATTCACACAGGATGCAAGGAGGCACCTGCTCACACCCAGCTGCAGTGGGATCCCCGTGCCCAGCATTCCCAACAGTCTTTGGAAAACAAATCCCAAATCCAGAGCCGGGCCATAGGTGCAAGGCATTTTTAAAAGATCTCCCAGCAAGTGCTTTGTAATTAGAAATTGCAGGAAATTACTCAGATGTAGCTCAAGTCTTAATTTTCCCTCCGTTTCTAATTTAGCCAGAATGAATCAATTAGTCCCCAGTTTGGAATCTCTACCATCCTTGAAACTTGGATATTCACAGAGAGCAAACAGCTCTTCGTGTGGAAGGCCCCAGCTGAAGGATGTAAATGGTGAACTGCATGGAACACCATTTATTCACCCTGCTTTGGAAACACGAGAGGTTGAGCTGACCCTCCTGCGATTCAAATCTGAGTTTACAGCGTCATTCATCATCTCAGAACGGGTCTGTTCCAGTCTCCTTGAACAAAACTATTTTCTCCTCGCATTTGCTGCACTGAATTGGCTGAATTTCAATTCCAAGGTGTATTGTACAAAGAACAGTTTTGGAGTGAAAGATGTCAAGCTGGCAAAAATTGAAAATTAGATTGGAACGAAATCTAATTCTTTTAATATAGAAAGTGTTTAGTTTTGCCTCTGTAATATAATTTGAAGTCACATAGCAATCACGTTTTTGGTAGGTTTTGTCTCCAGCTGGATGAAATGAAGGATTTTAATAAGAAATTATGCAACAAATAGGTGGAACTTGTGTCCCATACAGCAAGAAAATACTTTTCACCTCCGAGCACTGAGTATTTGCTGTGCCAGGGAGATCACCTGTAATCAGCTTGTTGGGTGACCCCTGCTTGATTTTGGGCATGACTAAAACCCACCTTTTATTGTACCAGGTGATCTTATCAGTGACCTAACACAAGTAGGAACCAAACACCTTCCAGTGCTGGGATTTTGCTAAGCCTCTTTTTTCAGCACCTGGAGACAGACGGTGAGCACTGGGGGCACAAGCATCCTCCTGCCAGAGCAATGATTCCGCCAACTTCTCCTTTCTCCAAGGCTTTCCGCTGCGGGCTCCAGGTGTAAAACCGGGAGCTGGGAGAGGCGCTTCCCTCCCGCATTTTGGGCGGGCGGGAGGGGAGGTGGTCCAGCCGCACGATGACAGCTGTAAATCCTGGCGGAGCACGGAATCCATCAGGGCGGCGGGAGAGGAGCGCAGCTCATCTCCGAACCGAGCATCCCCCCCGGCCGGAATGACACCGGAGCAGCTCCGGGTGCCTGCAGGTCTGCGGGCTGGGTAGCGGCAGGAATCGGCCGCTGCTGCCGCTCTCAGCCCCGCGAAGCCGCCTCGCTGCTCCCGGAGAGCCGCGGCAGACGGAGCTGGCTCCGGCACAGGGAGCGCGAGCAGCGGCTCCTGCGGGGATCCCGGAGCTCCCGCAGCCTTCCTGCCGGAGCCCGGCGTTATCCTCGTGCCCGGGAAGGGAGCTGCGTGTGGAACGCTGTGCTGAGCAGAGGTGTGCGTCCTTCCAGCGGGCTGCTCGCTCCGAAAGGACAGGCTGGCTACAAATGAGATGTGACTGTGCCGGTGGAGTTCACTGACTGGGGCTGGAGCGACAGGAGCCTTCCTGGGATGCCGCTGGGAGCTGCTGGCAACTGAGAGCTCTGCCTGGTTTACCTGGAGCCCTGTGAGGAGCTTTGAATAGCAGGTGTCTCTTTGCTGCACGCTAGGAAGAGAAATTCTTCTCCAGGTAAGCTGTTCAGCTTCCCCAGCTCTGCTTCTGGGCATACATTCATACAAGCACACTGCCAGTGCCCGTGCTCAGAGCAGGTACAAACACCCAGAGTGTGTCCAGTCATCTGCTGGGAACCCACGCACAGTAGGTGCTTCCAAAGGCTGCTGGAGCCTGGCATCCCAAGGATTATTTGCAAGTTTGAGACAGTCTTTGGGGATGTTGTTTCCGAGGGAAACAGCTGTCTGCCTAAATACATGAAAGACCACAGAAGGGAGAGCACGGGAAGTTAGGTGAGGGGGGAAAGAGGGTACAGCTGCTTCTTTAGTGCTCTCCACATCCTTTGTTTTTATTTGCTACCATCTAGCAGAGTTCAGCAGAACTACTGCACTAAAATGACATGGTAGAAGCTTTCCATGGAGATACATTAAATATGCACTAAAGTAAATGCAATTGTACTGTGAGGAAGCCAAAACCTACAGATCTGCTCTCTTCCAGCAGTTTGATAGCAAACTACATCTGTCAGCAACCTTTTTTTTTTCTTTAAACACCATGATCATTTACAGAGTGGAAGCAAGGATTGTTAGAGGTAGTGAGAGGTAAACTGGAGAAATCAGTGTGGGCTCTTCTGATGCTCCAGAGCCCAGCCCAGCAGCAGCCCAGGGTTTTTATCCCACAGCTGGCACAGGGGCTCCAAGTCACTGCTGCTGGGAATGAACACTCACAGGAACATGCTCAGAGGTGAAGAAGTCTCTTCCCACAAGCACTGCACTGTCCTAACCACACAGACCAACAAAACCCCACACTCAGAAGTTCTCTTTTCCCCAGGCAATTTACCAGGTCATTTTTAAGTAACTCCTGCAGCTCTCATTCACATGGCTTGAAGCCTCCCTCCTTCCCTCCACATGAATCAATGCTGCAGAATCTGGCCCAGCCCTGTAGCAGGTTACTCCATCTCTCCTAGCTTTGAATGCTCTCAGAGAACAAGATAAAAAGAGAAGTAACTCATTTTCACCCCGTTTCTTCAGTAGATTGAATCATGGTCCTCCTGCCATAAATGTTCAGCCTGTGGAAGGACAGAAGCATCTCCTTGTTCACCAAGTTCCAATAGTTGGCAATGTTTCCAGGTGCTCCCTGTCTTGCCCCATCCTGTCTGAGCACTTTCCCCCAGCACCTTTTGTCCTCCCTTAAGCTGCACGGCCTGCCTTGCTTTTGGAAATGCTGCTCTAAAGGAGGGGCTGGGGGTGGGCTGTGAACTGCCAAGTCTCATTTAACTCAGGAAATTCTTGGCTTCTCAGGAGTTCTCTCCTGAATCTTATCAATCAGACCCTCTGATGTCTGCTCAGCTGGGTCAGATGTTCCTCATGCCATTGCTCTGTGCACAAGTTTACAACTGTCTCTCAGGTTTTGTGCCATTTCCCCAGAACATGGCCCTTTTTTTGATTCATAATAGAGGCCTAATGTCTGAAAGCCACAGAACTGAAAGCAGAAGTATCTTAATGTCTTGTTGACACCACTCTCTTCTGCAAGGCTGGGAAAATGCTCCCCTAACTTGCTTTTTATCAGAGTAAATCAAATTCAATGGGTTACATTTCAGCAGAGAGCAGGATGCTTCAGTGACTGACACACAAACACACAGCCCCACATACAAATCCTTTTCAGCCTGAACACCCTATTAACTCACACTATCAAGTGCTGCAAGTCCTATTAAAACTTTATGGGTGTTTAGAGGCTGTGACACCTGCTGCACCCCTCTCTGTAATGGCCATGATCAGCCTCAGCACCGTGCAGGAAGCATGAGCTGCTCTAGAGTTCAGCTACCAAACTCACTATCAGCAGGATAAAAATATGCTAATAGTAAGGACAGGTTTCTCATGGTTGCAGTACAGGAATTATCCCAGCAGTATGATGAGATCCTTTAAGGAAAATGTGGCCATATATTGCAAACCCACAGCAATACTGAGCACAGAAAATGCTGATGAGTTACTTTTAGTTCTGATGACGAGTTTGCAGTTAAACAAACAAAAAATTGCATTTAACTCCGTGTCCCCAGAAAAAGATTCATCATTTCTCTACAAGCAGTAAAGGAACCTATATCATGAACTTATACCAAAAGAAAATATCATTTCTGTTCCCAGTCATTCTGATTTGCTCACAAACAATTTTGCTTTGATTGCCTCCATGACCACAGGGCTGGCTGAGCTTCAGCTGCATGTACACTCTGCTGTTTGCTTCCTTCAAGTGTTTGCCTTGCAAAGCATCCATAATCACAGAATCTAAGAATGGTTTGACCATAATCACAGAATCTAAGAATGATTTGGTTTGGGAGGGTCCTTAAAGAGTATTTAATACCAGCCTTCTTTCTGCAGCTCCAAAGGTGCATCCAATAAACTGCTTTCCATACCCATACAGTTGGCCTCTCTGAACAAAGCATGCCCTGGGTAAGAGGGGCAAGGCTTTGCAAGCTGGGGCCTGGATGGCTGAAGGAAAGGTTGCCTTGGAATTGTGCAGAAAGCTGCACTTGGCCCAGCCTGGGCAGTCATTTCAGGAACAGGGCACAGAGCTTAGGTGAGCCAAGGGCTCTCCACACTTTCCAAGGGGAGGGGAGCCTGGGTTGGAACAATTTGCAAGTGTAAAGGAGCACATTGTAAGGTGGCAGTTCATCAGATCCCTTCTTCTCAGGCCTGGGATGCAGTTGAGGACCATCAGAGCAGGTGGAAGGGCTGGCCTCTTAGGGAGAAGGAGGGTCTCTGCTGGAAATTGGGTGCAATGTCAAAGAGCCCTGTCTCCCACTTTGAGATAGGCTGAAGAAAGCACAGCTCACAGCAACAAGTCTCTCTTTCCTATTGAGATGTTAAAGCAATGCCCCTCAGCAAGGTAAGCCACCCAGAAGAGTGCCAGATAGAAATTCACAATCAATCCTCCATCTAAGTCATCACTGAAATTAGAAAAATTGAGCTATTAAAAGCATCGGGTGCTGGAAGAAAATGAAAATCATGCACGTCAATCCCAAACATTTATTACAACTACTGTCAGGAATAATTACAATGGAATTGGAATTCCTACTGAAACTAACAGCTGCTATAGAAAAATAATAATATTTTACCTAAACAGCAATGCCACCAGAATTACATGGCAACAGCACACCAGTATAGAAACCATGTCAGTATTTGATAAGGAAAATTTATTGGCACCAGAAGTTATGGATGGCCATTTGAACTCAATTCTGAAAGGAATCAAGTATTTAGACCCATTTCCTTCCCTCTGGCTACAGAAGGGGTCACAACTGCTCTCCCCAAGTGGAGGCAAAGGGAGCAAATTCATCCTCCCTCCTCTGCTGCAGTGATGGGTTTTACAGAGCCAGAGCAAACACAGAAGAAGCCAGGGCAGGGTGGGCTTCCTTCATGAGGAAGGAAGCACAAAAGAAGGGATTCCCTCTTCCTCCTTGGGTGCTGGTGGCATAAGAGCTGTCCTTGGCTTACTAAACCTGGCCAAGGGAGATCAGGCTGATGCCCCCACAGCTACAGAGTCTTACTAATGGCTGGGTTTTCATCTCTCACATGTAAATATCAGTACCAGGCACAAACAGCAGAGAGAATCGTGTGGACAGGCTCTCCCCTGAGCAGGGCTCTGCACCAAACCTCCCCTCCTGAAGGACTATCCACAGCTACTTATTCCAGCCCACACTCTGCCAGGCTCCACTGAAAGGATTGCATTTAGCTTTTAGAGTATAAATAAGTGTTCTGATAAATAATTAATAGTAGCTGCTGGCCGTAAAAGAGGCGGCTGTTTGGAAAGTTAAAGCAGCCTGTCATGAAATATGCACCCACCTCCTCTGTGCTCTGCTTCCAGGGGCTGTTTCAGCCAACATCTTGTCCTTTTCCATGGGACCATATTTTGCAAGGAAGAGGCCAGAGCTAAAGTTCCAGACCCTCAGGGTATTCTTGAATTTAATCTCTCTCACTGGGGTATAGATCACCCCCTAAAGCACCAGAAGGGAGGGCAGGTGGTCAGTGATTCACAGAGAAATGTTTGGAAATAAAAGGAAAGTGCACTCTTCTGGGTAAGAGAAAGAAATTAGACTTATTGATCATATTTGATTTTAAAGCCCTCGGAGCTTCTTGGGGTTTTTTAATTTAAACCAAAAAAAATCAGGGCCCTCTGCCTTGATAATTTGCCAGACTACCTGCACTCTACCCCCCTAAATAGCTGGTATAACTATAGGGCATTTTTATTCTTTATTATTCTGTAGACCATATTTGGGATGTAATTTTAAATGGCTCCACTATTCTACCCCCTTAGAGTTCTGCTGTTTAGAGGGGCATGGTACTATTATTTGTATCTCAAAAATCACAGTTAAAGAGAATTCTGTGATATCCAACGTCCACACAGCAAGCAAAATGAGCCATGCATGCCTCCAAACACCTGAGACACTCCCATCAGACTAACTCCCCATCAGCCTTGGTGCAAGCCCCATGTGCCCGCATCAACCACAGGCAATCATTCTGCACACTCAGATTTTTAACTGAAGGACCTCCTAAAAGGCTTTCTCCCTCATGGAAAAAATATTGGTGTTCAGGCAGAAAATAAAGTATCTATGTATGTATATGTTACCTTAAACTGAGCTTTATGGATTACAAGATATTGTGTCAAATGATGCAACATAATTTTGTCAGCCCCTTCCATAACCCAGAAAGTCAGGCTGGATTTCCTTGTCCACAATACACCCTGGAGATTGTTATTGAAAACAAAGGGGAGTGATACACTCAGCCCCCAGGAGAGAAGAGGGATGTAAAGAAAATTCCAGGCTGCTTCAGGGGCAGTATGTTCAGAAAGACTGACAACCATTTGGATTATTTTTTGGATGCCACACTCTCCCCCTTGGACAATCAGTTAACGCCTCAGTAGTTCAATAAACAGAGATTTTTCACGAAAGCAAGAGGTTAATCAAAGCCTTTCTACTCCATCACAGAGCTCTAATGGTATTAGTTCTAGTTCCAGTCTCTGAGCTGAGCGTG